GCCCTTTGTGCTGCCCATGTGAAATAGCCAAATTTCTACCCAACTCTACTGTTACTTCGAGGATGTCTGTTGATTATAAGTTCCTGAGCAGGTGGGATTGCCAAAACCGGTTGCATCTAAGATAGCAGCCAGAGTGACCCCCCCCCCAATTGTTATAGTTATCTTTCTGTTGTTGTAAGGAAATATCATGACCAAAAGCAACATAAGGATGAGTTCATTTTAGCTTATGGCTCCAGGGGTTGGATGTCCGTAATGTCAAGGAAGACATGGCAGCAGGAGCAAAAAACTGAGAGATTACATTTCTGTCACTCACAGGAAGCAGAGTGAACAAACCAGAAGTAGGGAGATGCTATAGATCCTGCAAAGCTCACCCCAGTGAGGTGCTTCCTCCAGCAAGTCTGCACCTCCTGAAGGTTCTGTAACCTCTCCAAATACCACCACCAGCTAGGGATCAAGTGTTCAAATACACGAAGCTCTCAGAGACATTTTTTGTTTAAATAACACCAGCTAGCTTCATTATAATATCATCTGCATATTAAATGGCACTTCGTCCCTGGACTACAGCAGTTGACAGTTACCTGATGATGACAGAAAGGAACCATCAAAGCACCAAAAAAACAGTGGTGTCTGAATTTGAGGAAAATCTCCCATTCCCAGAAGAAAACATGAATATTCTTCTCTTTCACGTTTTTCATTGTATTTGATTTCCACAACCTCCAAGGACTGAGAAGGTGATTTGTGAGTCTGTCTCCAGATTATCCTGCTCTTTGACCAATAATAAGACAGATATAAGATGATAGATAGATAGATAGATAGATAGATAGATAGATGATAGATAGGAAGAGGCAGCAGTGGCACGAAGCTCTGGTTTGAGTTTCATCTGCTGTGACCAAAGCCTAACTCTCACCGCCCAGTGACTCTTACAGGTGTGATGACACCATTTGATTGCAGTTTAGTCCAGCTGTTTGTCATTGTCTAGAACCATGGCTGTTTTAACTTGATCCATTGGTATGAGTGTTGGGATAGGATGAGATTTTTTTTCATTATCATCTGGACTTACCCCTCTCAGCCTTAGCTCTCATAGCTATCTATTGTAGGCAGAGACTGCTGTTCTTTCCCAGCCTCTCAAATCTCATCTATCCCTGGTCTTAGGCAGCTGCATGCAGCTCCCATCAGGCTGTAGCTGGACATGCCTAGTTGAAGGGTTAAGAAAACCAATGACTCTGATAACTAACAGCTTTCACAGGTTGAAGCTTGTCTAGGTATTCTCTGATCACGGCAGCAATGAAGCAAAAGTGCTGGTCTGCATGCTTACACTTTAATTCCTGCCTGTAGTTTGGCAATGCTCCTACCATGGGCTGGGGGCACTGGGCCACCTGATACGACCTTGACTGTCAGGAAGAGGTGTGCTCCTCTATCAGCAAGCGGGAGTTCAGGCAGACAGTGTTGTACACGAGCAAGACTTCTGCGGTGATAGTTGTAGGCTTCCTCTTCTAGAGACTAAAAAGGCAGCCCCTTGGTACTCCTAGTGGATCTGCTGCTTAGCGAATTGTGGCCAAGGACTGGAGCGAAGGATTTGTTCAGATGTGGAAAATCAGACCTGCTCAGGTTTCCCTGGGAGTTTGGATGCCCTCCCCTCTCCTGTCTGGAAGAGGTCTGCTAAAATGTGGTGGATGTTTCTGTGAGATATGGACCCACTTGGCAGATGGTTTCATATCACTGGGCCCGAGTAAAAGTGGCAGAAGTGCTGTGTGCTCCTGTGAGTGGCCCCTGTGTAACCCAACCCTTTTATGAGCCAAGTGCCCAGAACTCCAGCAGTGTCATAGTCACCGGAGAAATTCTGCACACACTTATGATTCTCGGCAAAATGAAAGCTTCTCCCTTGCTCATCTTAATGACCTAAATACTAATACTAAAGACATTAAATGACTCATTTAATGTCAATACTGTGACATAGTAGCCCTCAGTTCAAAGTTTTGATTTAAAGTAAGTATATAACTGCCAAGTCCCTGTTTGCAAAGGAAGAGGCCATTTAAGTGTGCAGATGACCCGTTTAGATCTAGTCTGGACTACAGAGGATGACCCTGCAGGAGATGAGAGAACCTTGTTCTTTTGCCGTGCTAATTCCTTTTCTGGGTCAGGAAATGGCCTGTAAATTTGCCTGCTTCATCATGCAGCTCCTTCCTATGAAAAGGGAACTTGGGCTCTGTGAACGGACTGCAGACTCCAAAACTTAAATCCCACAGTTATTGTCTCCTATGGCTAGGAAAAACAATCCAGACTACATTTAAAAAAAATTACTAAACCAACAAGATGGCTCAGCAGGTAAAGGTGCTTGACACCAAGTCTGACGACTTGAGTTCAGTCCCCAGGACCCATAGGGTGGAAGGAAAGAATGGATTCTTGTAATTGTCCCCAACCTCCATACATGAACTGTGGCATGCACATGCCCCTCATTCACCACAAAATAAATACAAATTTTAAAAGTAAAGACAAACTGACTGGGTATAGCCAGCACATGCCTTTAATCCCAACACTAGGAAGACAGAGGCAGAGGCAGACAAATCTCTGTGAGTTCAAGGCTAGTTGGGTCTATGTAGTGAAGATGTCTCAAAGAAAGGAAGGAAGGAAGGAAGGAAGGAAGGAAGGAAAAGAAAAAAGAAAAATAACTTCTCAATCTAGGTGATGGAGTGTACTGCAATCTCAGCATTTGGAAAGTAGAAACCTGAGGATCAGAGAAAAGGGTTCTCCTTAAGGATAGAGAGATGGTGCATTTGTTAAAAGCACTGGGCCCAGGTTTGGTTTCTGGCACCCACATAGTATCTTATAAACCTCTATAACTCCAGTTCTAGGGATCCAGAGCTCTCTTCAGATCCCTTTAGACACCAGGCATACACATGTCGCACATATACATAAGCAAAACTCTCATACACGAGAGAAAAAAAGAAACATAGCTGGGATGTAGCTGAGGGTCCTTGCCTAGTGCAAGGCTGCAGATTCCATCTCCAATTACACACCCGCACACAAAAGACTGCCGTGGTGCACACACCTGTAATCCCAGTACCTTGGTACCTAGAGGCAGGAAGATCTGGAGTTCAAGGTCGTCCTTGGCTCTGTGGTGAGCTGGGCTCGAGAGACCTTGTCTCAGATCAGCCACACTTACAGAGATGCAAGGGAAGATGGAAAGCAAACCAGTGCTGGTAATGTCCGTGTTTGTGGGAATGCCAGAAACAGGCAATCTTGTGAGCTAGTGCTGCCAGTGTAAACACAGCCACCCCTTCGGTAGGGGCATTTAAGCAATGTCTGTCAACACTGGGGCACTTACATTTGTGATTCAGCAATTCTGCCACTGAGTTTGCTAAAGAAAAGCTGGCAAAATATGTCAAAATCATGTGCCTGAGTTTGTGTTAAAATTTTATTATTTATTAAGTGTGTGTGTGTGTCTGTATGACTTTGTGTGCAAGTAGATATCTATAGGAGGTAAAAAGAGGGTGTCAGATCACCTGGAACTGGAGTCCAGGAGACTGTGAACTGCCTAATGTGGGGATGGCGACTGAACTCAGGTCCTCTGCAGGAGCAGCGAACACACTCATCCTTGAGCCATCTCTCCAGCCCTGAAAAGAGAAGTTTTGCTTCTGCTATTGTTGTTTGGTACTTTTCTAGAATGTTTGAATTTTTTAACTTACTTTTTGAGGCAGCATCTCACACTATTGCTCAGGTTGGGCAGGAACTCACTCGGTAGCCCAGGCTGGACTTGGACGTAGGGCCCTTTTCCTACTGCTGCCTTTCCAGTGCTGGGATTGTGAGTATGAGCCCTGTGCCTGGTATATTTGCAGGAAACTCTGAGCGTGTTCATGTGTGCACATGCTATGAGTGTGCCCATGAAGGCCCCAGCAGGACGCTGGGCACCCTTCTCTGTAAGTCTCTCTCTTCTTCTTTCAGGACAGGTCCTGCCACCGTGCGTGGAGCTAGGCTGGCAAGCTCCAGTGACCCTCCTGTTTCCACCCTTCACAAACCTGGGGTTAAGGAGGGCACAACCACACCCAGCTTTTTACATGGGTGTTGTTATCTAACTCAGTTCCTCATGCTTGTACAGCAAGTGTTCTTACTCACTGAGCCATTTCTTCAGCTTGAAAAAAAGGGTTTATTTTGGTTCATAATATTTAAATATATATACTATGGATATGCAAAACTATTTTAAAATAAATCTTTTGGGTCAGTGAGGTGGCTCAACAGGTAGAGATGCTTGGTACTAAACCTAAGCATCTGACGTCACCTGAAGAGCCACATGGTGGAAGGAGAAAACTGACTCCATTTGTCCTCTGATGCCCACGGAGGGGTCATGCCAAACATGCATTTTCACACACTCACAAATAAATAAATATTAGTAAAATGGATCTTTTGAAAGAAGCCAAGGAACGTAAGAGATAAATGAGAGGAAGAGGAACTTTACATTAGAGAAATGATGGCTTCTCCTGAGGGAGCTGATTGTTTTAGCTGTGTGAATGAAAGCAATGGTATGTGAAGATTTGGGTGTTCTGAAGAGCAGTCAGTGGGAGGAGGAGGAAAGGGAGCATAAAAGACTAGAATCAGGGCCTGGTGACATGAATACAGTATAGGTTCACACAACAGAAGAAAATAGCCTACTGCCACAGGTTGTCCCATGAGCTGTATGTGTGCGCCATGATGCACATACATACACACAACAAACAGAAAAGAGGAAGGCAATGTTGTGCCCAGCTGGATGAAGATGAGAACCAGGGAATAAAGGAGGCCTCCCAGGTGGCAGGTAGCTGAGTGGAGGGTGAGCTGCCCATGTGAGCACCCAGAAGGAAGCAAGGGGTTAGTGAAGTTAAAGGCTAGGAAAGGCTGGGGAAGAAGAAAGTGAGTTTGGTCTTGGGGGTGATGGACTGAGGTTTGAACACATCGTGGGATTTGGAGCTATTGTGGACCATTTGTTCTCTGAGCACCACAAGGCCATTGTCCTTTTATCTTTGCAGCCAGCATTAACTCGGGACTTTCACAAGACTGGACCCATTAACTTCCCATTATGGAGGTGAGGTGAGAGACTCCCAAGACCCTTTCCTTCCCTGACAATAAATAGGCAGATACCGGTTATGGGAGACAAAGATGTTTTCTTGAGTGGTGCTCCTGCTGGGGACCTAGCCTTCTGTGAGTAATCCCAGTTAAACTCATTGGTTCACCACGCTATTGAGTGGACTTGTTCCACTGTCATTAGTTCCTCATCTGAGGTGAACGGTGCTTGTTGATCTTCCCAGGAATTAGTGCACACCAGGAACTCACAGAATTCTGGATTGGAAATGGAAAAAAAAGAAAAGAATCTGATGTGGACCAGATTGCTGCTGAAGATACCACATCAGGAAAGATGGTAAGCTGGGCAGTGGTGGCACACACCTTCAATTCCAGCACTCAGGGGCAGAGGTAGGCAGATCTCTTTAAGTTCAAGGCCAGCCTGGGCTACTAGACCAGTTGCAGGACGGACAGATAGGGCTGTTACACAGAGAAACCCTGTCTTCGTTGTGGGGGGGGGGGAGATGGTAGCAGAAAGCAAGTATAAGGAAAGCATGGAGATGAAAAGACTTTCTGCTCAAGGGAGATTCTGAAGTTAGCAGTTGGGTAGAGGATGAGGAAGTGGTAGTGGAACAGAGGGGAAAACCAGAAGGGAGTGGTCCCCAATGTCTGCTCTTGCAAATGCAGGGCCTGGTTATTTAAGCTTTGCTTAAACCAGTGCCTCTTCTGCTTGGCCACACCTGCCCAATAAGATCTTAACTCCGAACGTTGTCTCTTGTCTTGAAAAAGATCACTCAAATGGGGCAGAGTGGCACACATTGAAAGTTCAAGGCCAGTCTGGTCAATACAGTCAGTTCCAGCCCAACCCTGGCTACATAGTGAAACCCACTGCAAAAAAACAAGAAAATAGCCAGAAAGGAGCTAAGGATTGGAGTGCCTACCTATCATATGCAAAGCCCTGACACCATACAAACTGACCATGGGCCACACATGAATGTAATCCCAGTAGTGGGAGGTACAGGCAGGAGGATCACAAGTCAAGGCCACTGTCAACTATATGGAGAGTTTGAGGCCTGCCTGAAATGTGTGAGACTTTTTTTAAAAAAAGTTACCTGGTCTCAGTAAGCAACACACAAACACACACACACAGAGACAGAGATAGAGACACACACACACACACACACACAGAGAGAGAGAGAGAGCAAGAGAGAGAGAGAGAGAGAGAGAGAGATATTGACACTTCCCATGCTGCTGTTAGCTTTTTTTTTTTTTTTTTGAGGGCTTTTATTCCCTAGTTAATATAAAAAAATGAGGACAGCTAAAGCTGTCATCTCACTTCCATTTTTTTTGTGGACAGTTTCTTTCTCCTAAAGAGGCCCCGGGGTGAATGCCTGAGATGGCTCAGTCCTACACTGTCTACATGCTTGGACCCAGATAGCTCTAACAACCCTCCAGGAGACTTGCCAGATCCAGGTTACCGTGGAGCCCAGGATTTGTCCTTCTTTTAATGGTGTCACATATATCTTGCATTTTCCTATTGTGGTATTAATAAGGTCATGCCACCGTCTCCTTCAGTAAGCTTGCTGTTACACATGTTTTCTTTCCTTTTCTTTTTAAAATTTTTGGGGCGAGAGTGGGTGAGCATACACGCACATGCACAAGCAGGCACTGTATACCTTTGGGGGTCACAGGACAACTTGCAGGAGGGGCTTCTTTCCTTCCACCGTGTAGATGCCATGGACTGAATTCAGGTCATCAGGCTTGGCAGCAAGCACCTTTACCCCCTAAGCCATCTTCTTGGCCCTTTTTTATTTTGAAATGGGATCTCTATAGAACTCACTATGTAGTTCATGCTGGCTTGAAACACTCAGCAGTCATATTCAGCCTCCCAAGTGCTGGGAGTACAAACATACACTCATATGCCTAGTTCTGACTGGCTTTCAGATTTATGTGATGGTTGCTATATTCACCTGTATTGTTGCATGCAATCATGAATAGTTGATTCCCAGTTCCCCATCCCATTGTGTGAATAGACCACAGTTTATTTATCCATTCATATATGATGATAAAAGTTTGGCTATTTCCCTCTGAGAACTACTGTAATGAGAGATAGTAAAAAATCCCCAAATCTGTATGTTACAGAGGTAAAATATGGAGAAAGCTATGGAGCAGGTTGCTTCTGGAGGCACTGTTTCATTAGCCTCCACATCTCCGGCCTTCACGGAGGCCCAGCAGAATGTATTTGTATGAGAAGATCAAGATCAAAGAATAATTTATCATTGTGTTTTCAAGTAGTAAGATAATTGCCAAATTTTGCATTTGTTCCTGGATACGACGTTTACAATACTTTGTGGGGACCCTGATAACACTATTGAGGACATCAGTAGTGACATGTCTGAAGCTGCTCAATGCCATGGATGGTGGGGGAACTGAAGGTGCTTGTCATGCTGATGAGAGCAAAACTGCATCAGATATGGACCAGCTTGCTTTGATTGAGCCAGTCTGTGGGGAAGGCAGCTTTCTGGTCAACCATGATGCCAGTTTTTATAGCATTTACCATGCACCAGGCCCAGCTTGTGCTTTTGTTTTATTTTTGACATAGGGTCTCACTGTGAAACCCAGACTGGCCTGGAGCTCACTATGCAGACCAGGCTGGCCTCAGCTCTAGGTAATCTTCACACCTCAGCTTCGTTTGAATAATTGAATGCTAGGTTCCCGACAAAGTCAACCATAAGACAGCAGCCTCCCAGATTTGGCTCCTTTCCCATCTTTATACCTCACCTGTAGAACTAGCTTCTTTCTAGAGCCTGGCCTCTTCCAGGCCTCTATGGGCCTGTCACTGTACACATCACAGTGAATCTGGGTCAGGACTTACTTCAGCCTTCTCTGCACTCTTGAAGCCTTTCACTCTCCCTGTGGCTCTGTCTGCTGCTCTCTCTGTTCAGTGACCAGGACAAGGAAAGGAAGGGAAAGCTAGATAGCATGGCGGGGGCTATGGCACAGTGGATGTAGCCAAGAGCCCTTTGTATTTATCCTGGTTTGTTTTTTGTTTTTGTTTGTGTCTGTTTGCATGTGTTTGGGTGTGCTTGTGAGTGCAGGTGCCCATGCGTGTATGTGTGACTTCACATGGAGGTTGGACAGCAGCATGGGTGCTCAGGACACTGTCCACCTTTCTGAGGTAGGGTCCCTCACTGCTCTGGAACTGGCTACGTTGACTGGCTGGCTACTAAACCCCAGAGACCTGCCTATTTCTGTGTCTCCAGCACGGGAATGGCAAGCATATACCTCTCCTGGCTTATGTTTTTTAATGTGGTTCTGGGTACCCAACCCCAGATCTCCATGCTCATTGTGTTCTCTCTCTTAATGCATGCTATTGATGTTTTAGTCTTTAGAAACAGGCCCTTATGTAGCCTAGGCTGACTTTGAACTCTATGCAGATGGATTTTGAACTCCTGATCTCCTGCCTCCCCCTCTCATGTGCTGAGATCAAAGGCTTATAGCACCACACCTAGTTCCATTTAGGCGAGTCTGTGGCAGGAGCAGCGGGAAGTTCCCAGTGCAGGATAAAAGAGAAGACATCCTTCTCTAGATGTATCTGTCTAGTTTGTTACATCAGACCTTACAAAGAAGAAAAACACAGACAAATCTGGGTTACTGTATGAAAAAAAATGTGTTTCTTAGGAGAAGCAAAATGCTTGTCCTTGCAGGGTGCACTGTGCCTCTGGTCCAGGGATAAGATACTTTATCTTCCCATTGGCGCCTGACACCTAAGCAGGGTGGCAAGATCACAAAAAGAGGCAGTGACCAGAGCCAGACAAGCTGGCTATACAGAGCTGGGCTGCTACCTCCCGCCCTGTCTGCCCACTCCTTCCAGAACCACGGTTTCCCTCCCTCCTCTTTCTTCGGAGTCCTCTAATTGTATTTTTAATTTCTGGGCAGGGACATGAGGGAATCTAAGGTTGCCAGAGCATGGTGGCATAGGGCAGGCAGATCCACGCCTCACTCTCTCTTCCCTGAGCTTCAGATCATGTCCTTGTTTTCTTTTCTTTTACTGGACCAATCCAGACACATGGTAACCGTGTTAACCCGATAAATATCAGTAGGCCTGACCTTTCTCTCCAGGCCCTCCAGTCACGCTGACTCCCCAGCTCTGCCTCACTTGTGCTTAAACTGGATTAGCACTCAGTGCTGTAGGCAACAGGGCCCTGCACTTGGGCTTGCTGGCAATCAAAGCAGAGATTACCTTATTTGACGTAAAGCATTTTCCACTTGAGGATAAGATTCCCCGGGGAAATCCACTGGGGCTTATACATACATGACTTTAAATTGGATTTTAAAAATAGCCTGCCAGCTGTTTGCTAGGTCATGCTTGGGTTCTTGGCCTCGATTGCGGCTGTGTCCATTTGGGGAACAGGGGCTGCCAAGACTGCAGGGCTCTAGATGCCTGGAGACTGTCCCAGGAGCCCTGGCAGTTGTTGCCATGAAACCCGCAGATCCTGGCACCAAGGTCTAAGTGTCACGCAGAGAAAATAACCACATCATTTAACCCACGTCCCCCAGAGTGCACTGCAGCCCTGGGCTGCCTCTGCTCATACTGAGTCTGAAAGAAGAGAAATCAAACGGAGAACTGTTCTCACCAAGAGCGGTCTTCACATTTTTTGAGGATTTTTTTTCTCTCTCAAAGTTTTATATCAATTTACTTAGTAATGGGTTTCATTAAGGCATTTTCATATGTGAATAAAATGTATTTTGATCACACGAGTCCCCTTTATCCTTCTCTGTGCCTTTCCCATGCTCACTGATCTTCTTCCTCTTCTCAGCTGGTCTTCTGCTCTCGTAGTTTTTGTGATGTGTGCGTGTGCATGTGCACGTGTGTCCCAGTGAGTTTCATTAGGGCTACGGATGGGGCATGGGTAAGTGGTTGTTCTTAGGAAGGAACATGGACAACTTACCAGTTGCTACACACTGAAAAAAAATGTCTCTCCCTCACCCTATTAACTGTTAAGGATGGGTGGAACTTGGTGAGCTTCTCCTTGCTTCGTGAGGGATTGCTGATGGGCCCGAGTTAGTGCTTGCCCTGTGTCAGCAACCACACTTGCTGAGAGTTCACAAATGCAGTAGCCATGGCCACACACTGGGGATAGTGTTCAGAAAGTCAGCCTCTTCCTCTGCTTCTTCAGCTCTTTCTACCATGCCCTGTGTAGCATTTCCTAAGCCAAAGAAGGGGGTGATAGGAACCCCCAATTTATGGCTGAGCATTCAGTGCTCACTGAGTCCAGTACGGTGACCAGATATTCATCTTATTAACAGCTGCCCATTGCAAAAAGAAGCTTAGCTAAGAGCAGCACTAACTTATGGGTGTAAGCATAGTTATTTAGAAGATAATTTGACAGGCGTATCATGCCCGTTACCAAGCGACAGCAGTAGCTTCCTCCCTGTAGCCTATGGCCTCTGAACCATGCATTTTTGTCCAGTTTTACAATCCCAGACAAGAATTCCTTTCCATGGAGTGGGCCTCAAATGCAATTAGAAAGCAACTGGTTACCCCACAGCAGACTTGACGCCATTGCACCAGTGGGCTCCTCTCACTTAGTGGGTCCGTGCTGTGGCTCCCAGGGCCACAGCTGGATTTCAGTATGTCCTACAGCCAGAGCATGCTGTGTCCTCAGCAGTGACATCTCACCGCCTAGTGGAATATTGCACACCTTTTGTGGCTGAATATTCTCGCTCTTTGTATAAACTTCAGGTGATACATACAGGGCATCTCACCCCCTTCTAGTCTTACTCTTTTATCATCAGCTCACAGCTTGAATGTCACTTTCTGGGGGGAAATGAGGGAAAGAAACGTACGGAGCTTCAGAGCACAGTGTGCAGTGAATGCCTGTGTTTCTAGCAGAAGGACCAGGAGCTAAAGGAATTCCTTTGCTATATCATGGCAGGTTCTAGGGCAACCTGACCTACAAGAGACTATTGTGGAATAATCTTTTTGTTCAATGTGAAGATGTGTCACTCTGATTTATTTAATAAAAAGCTGAGTAGTCAATAGCAAGGCAGGATTTCCAGGCACAGAGGACGCTGGGAAAAAGAAAGGTGGAGTCGCCAGCCAGATGGAGAGGCAGCTGCATGGGCAGCACAGAGTATAAGTAACTGAGCCATGTAAAACAATGTAGATTAAAAGAGAGGGGTTTATTTAAGTTATAAAAGCTAGTTAGAAACAAGCCTAAGCTATTGGCTGAGTTTTCATAATTATATTAATTATAATCTCCTTGTCATTTGTGAGCTGACTGGTGGGACAGAGAAAGATTCACTACATATAGCACCCAACTTCTGGCCCTGTATATTCACGTAAGGCCTAAAAAAGCTTAAAAGAAAAGTTCGGGACATGGAATCAGACACAGCTTCCTGGTGACCGCAGTCTCTCGGGTAGGCTTGGTGTATGGAGACTGCCTGCCTGCTGGAACCAGCTGCCAGCACCATGTGCCAGCGCCATGCACTAAGCTGAGCCATGCCAGCAGCTGACGTAGCAGTTTAAGATTTGTCTCACTCGCTCAGAGAATGCTGCAGATGCTCAGTAAAGACAGAGGCAGATGGGGAAAAAAAAAAAACTCTAAACAGGTTACAGTGTGTTTAAAAAAGTGTGGGCTTAAAAAAGAAAATGGGTCTAGATGGTCATAGAAAAAAAGTAGTTTATATCATGACAAGTTCCAGGGCAACCTGAGCTACAAGAGACCCTGTTTAAAAACAAAACGAAACAAACACCCAACAACAACAGCAAAAAAAAAAAAAAACATAGTATAACACAATGTATAGCTAACGTTGTGGTGCAGGCCTGTAACCCTAGCTAGTGAGAGGCTGAGGCAAGAAGGTCTCAAGTTCAAGTCCTGTTTGAACTACAGAGCCAAGCCTGAGCAACCTGTTGAAACCTCATCTCAATTAGTAAGTAAATGGAGGTCTAGGGGTAAAGATCTGTGGAAGAGCACCTCCCTAGATGTTAATTCCCAGTAAAGAAAAAGCAGGGGGGCATGGGAAGAAACCGACCCCATTCAGGCTGTTGTGAGCTGAGGAGCAAATGAGTTAGTGCGGACTGTATGGACCACGGCAGAGTGTTCAGTAGCTGTGCATCCACCCGGCCGCTCTCCAGCTTGACTACCTGAGCCTTCTGTGCTCGTCTAGCTCAGTCTTTGTTTATCTTTGTGGCTTAATGATCGCTTCCTCCATCAGACCAGGAACTTCCCAGTCTTTACAACCTAAACCATCTCGGCCTCTCAAACACTCAAGAAATGTTTGTGCCTACGATAAGAAATGAACTCTCTGAAAGAAGAAATCCTAAAACCCAGCTGGGATCCAGAAAACAGACTCTCAGGCCCGCAGGTCAGTCTCTCCTTCATCTGTGTTTGCTCAGTCTGTAAACTTGGCCTTTTCATGTGGTTGGTCTGACTGTTAAACAGAGAGAGACTGATGAGTTTGGAGTTCCGGGATCATGAGGATAAAGCTTTATAATCAAGTCTTTTGCAGGGGACCTCTGTCCCTATCAAGTTTTTCAAATTGTAATTCAATATTAAATGTATGTTAAAGAGGGCTATGAGGTGGATCAGAGGGGAGAGGCACTTACAGCCAAGCCTGGCCGTCTGAATTTGATCCCTGGGACCCATGAGGTGGGAGAAGAGAACAGACTCCTGCAAGTTGTCCGCCCCTTCTCACTGGAATGTGGTGTATATAAACTGTTCGTACCAGCAACAACACAAACCCGTGTAGGAAACCTACTTTTTCATTACCTCTCTTTTGCTTCACTACCAAACTCATCCATTCCCACGGAATAAAATTTAAACCTGCCTGCCAAAGCATGCAAGGCTTTTCCCCAAGTCATTTGACCCTTTACGCCCCCCTGCAGCAGCCTGTACAAACACATGTTACAGAAGCATTTGCCCAGTGCAAGACCCTCAGAGTCAGCCACAGAGTGGGTTTGAAATCCCCGCTCAGAGACGCGGCTCTCCTTCAGTCTAGCGGGATGGCTTAGTACATAGAGGAACTTGCTACCAGGCTTGACAATCTGCATTTTATTCCCAGGATCCACATGATAGAAGGAGACAACCAATTCTTGTAAGTTGTCCTTTGACCTTTGTATACTGTAAATGTGAGCGGATGCACAAACACACGTAGATACACAGACAATAAATAGCTGCAATTAAAAAAAAAAAAACCTGAGTCCCTGTCTTCATTACTATCTACTGTCTGCATCCACTGTCCTGTCTTCTCCAATAAACTCCCAACACTAAGGTTCTCAGACACAGCTGGCCTATGTCAGCCCTTGCAACTTTGATTTGGGCCTCTCTCTTGCCTGGAATCCCAGTTTCCCATTTTCAAGCCCCACCCACCCATTTTCTGAGGTCTACCTCTAAACCTTCAGACCTTTGACTGTCTCTTCTCAACTTTTCTTCTGACCCAGAGCATAAAGCTAGCTCTGCACAGACTGTTGGGTGGGCTTTAGACCCTATAGGTCAGGAATAATGGCACCGACTTGCAACACACAGGGCCTCCACACACTCTGTCCAATAACTACTGTTTTAGGATGCAATGATAAACATCGCAGTAGAAAACAACAGAGTAAGTCTCTCATTCTCTGTTTCACATTGAGAATTCCTTCCTGACCCTCCCCCCTGATAACAATAACAACAAAAATATCTGCTAAAAACAGATCAGTCCAACTTCTTTATCTTGTCAAGCAAGGAAACAGAAGTCTAAAGAACAGGGAAGCTGAAAAACAAACTAATCCATTCTTTTAATGGCTTGGATGGCCTAGGAAAGATAAACAAGCAGCTGGACCCGAGACAAAAGGTCAGCAGCTGTTGAGGGAAGCAGGCCAGGTGCCTCTGAGGCTCAGCAGGCAAAAGCCTGGGCTGGGGTGAGTTGTGGAAGGAAAGTTGATCAGCCAGAGTCTCAAACCAAATCCCTAGACCTGGCCCTGAAACACCAGTTGATCAGTACTATGTGTGAGCAAATGTCGGCATATTCAAATCCAGAGGTGGTGACACACATCTGTAATCCCAGTCGTCAGGATGCCAAGGCAGGAGGTTTGGGCATAATGGTGCATGCCTGTAATTCCAGTCCTTAAAAGGTGGAGGCAGGAGAATCAGGAGTTCAAAACCAGCCTTGACTGTATGACAATTGGTCACAACAACAAAAATCACAAAAAGTCAGACATGGTGGCCCAGAAACCTACCTGCCTCTGCCTTCTGAGTGCTGGGATTAAAGACATGATCCATGGGGGGTTGTTTTTAATTGTTATTTGTTCTGTGGTATGGGGGCTGCATCCAGAGCTCCATGTATAGCAGGCAAAAGCTCTACCACCCAGCTACAGTCCTTGCCCTGCCACTGTGTGGCTTTTTTAAATCAGGGTTTTATTCTTAGGCTGACCTCAATAATAATAATATATATAATAATAATATAATAAGTTGTCTCAATAAGTTGTCTCTGAACTTGGTTTTGTACTTGTGGAATTTTGGTTTTTTTGTTTTGTTTTGTTTTGTTTTCTCCCAACAGTGAATATATTTACTAAGAAAATGTGAAAAAGAACTTCTGAGATTGATAGGGGCTCCAGGGAAGGAACATTGTGTTGTCGTTGTTACTGTTGCTTTGAGTTTTAGAGAAAGGTTTATTATATATTCATAGATGGGAGCTTAAAGAGGGAGGGAGAGCCACACTGTTTGAGTTAGGCTTGAAGTCAGTCATGAGGCAGAAAGGGGAGCTTTAGAAAAAGTGAAAAAGTCCAAAGTACTGGAAAAAGCATACTTCGACTCAGGTCGCCATCCAAAAGAAAGGTGGAAAGGCCTGCTTCTCTAGGGTTTTCCATTTTTGTTGTTGTTTTATTTTGTTTTTGAGACAGAGACTCACTAAGTTGCTCTGTCTGGCCTGGAACTCACTATTTATCAATAGATTAGGTGAAGAGATTAGTCTGCCTGTCTCCAAGTGCTCAGGAACAGGCTTGTGCCACCACATCAGACTCATTCTGGGCTTTTTTGAGGCAGGACTTCAATATATCTCCCTGGCTGGCCAAGCGCTTGCTCTGTAAGTGAGTCTGGTCCTGGACTTGCAGTGGCCCTCTGCCTCTCCCCCTGAACACAGGGACTTCAGGACGTGTGCTACCATGCCCGGTTCACAGAAGTGTTTGGGAGGATAAGTAAAGTTCATTGAAGAGAAGACAGGGCTAGGAAGGTGTTCATTTGGTACAGTGACTCTCTACTGTGCATGCAGACCTGGGTTTGGTTTCTGGCACTGTGACCCAGGAATAGTGGTATATGCTCATAATCCTAGCGCTGTGAAGTGGAAGCAGGAAGATCAGAAATTCAAGATCACCGTCCATTACACAGCAAGTTCACAAAGGGTGAAAAGAACAAACATTGTCCTAGGAAGGACATCTCTGTGAAGAAACACTCAGCTCAAGACCTACATGGATTGATGGCTATCAAAGACTTTGAGAGTTCGGGATGTGTTTTCTTGCATTTCCTTATTTCATTCTGCCCATATCGGCAAATCCCATCTTTATAAAACTTCCCTTTCACCTTGGGGCTGTTCCTTATGGCTGATTCTAAACCAAGCCCTTGGCAACCCGACCGGCTTCTGCCTTCATAGGACTCCTTGTTCCCTTCACATGGCCAGTCTCCTCGCTACTTGAGGCACCAGATACCATGTCCTGCCTTGTCCCCAGCTCTGCTTGGGGGCTCAGCAGTTCTTTGCTGCCTGTAGCTAATATTCTGCATGAAAAGCTCTGTGTGACCCATATTATTTGGCAAGTGTAGCCCCTCATCAATCATTGTCTTTCTGTTAAATCAAGTAACCCAGTAGAAGGGAAAGTTCTCAAGGGCAAGAACCTGACCATAACGATCCCTCAATTCCCCTATAAATCTAGACGGTAGCTGGGATGCTGTGTAGTCCTCTTAAGTGGTAGGTGAATGGGGACATCTGACTTTCCCTAGGTCCCCTCACTGTGAGGGCCTTCGCCCAAGACCTAGACCTCCGAGTCTCAACTGTAAGCAGTCCTCAGAACCCTATCCACCCCATCTCTAAATCAGATGAGAACAGTGAGAGATTGAGTTCTTTAAACAAGCTTTGAGGAATAACTACTAACATCCTTTGTCTGACTACAGTTTACAATAGCTTACTGTATATTTTACGAAGAACTAGAAGAGGGTTTTTTTTAGGTTTATTTATGAGTGGTGTGTGTGCGCACATACCATAATGCATGTGCGGAGGTCAAAGGTCAGTTTGTAGGAGTCAGCTCTCTCCTTCTGCCATGTGGGTTTCAGGAATAGAGCTCAGGTCATGAAGCCTGACAGCCCGCATCTTTCTTGCTGAGCCGTTTCTTCAGAAGATAGAAATCTGAACAGAGAAATAAAGAGACAAAATGCTAATTTTCTTCATTTGACTATGACACTACATATGCATTGTACTGTTGCACTTTGCCCCATAAATATGAACAGTTATTATGTGTCAACTAAAAAGGAAAAATCTCCACCTCCTTAGTGATACATGCCTGTGACCACAGAGCTTGGCGGTCGAGGCAAAAGGATCACTAAACCAACCAAGAAAAGAAGAACACACCAAGATTTTTCTTTAACATTCTATTAGTAAATACCAGTCAGTTTGAATCAAAATATTAAAAACATTTTTGTTTTACCTTCCTGACTTTGTGGTCAAGTTTAGAAATAAAATATTGTCAGGCCACCTATTATTGTGTTTATCGCTGTGAGATCCAGCTCTTTTGGGACTCAGCACTCATGAGCATTTTAGGAAGAAGACTTCAAGTGCCTGCCTTTTAGTGGCAGCATCAACTTTTGTTGGTTTGTTTCTTTGAGACAGGGTCCCGGCTGGCCTGGAAGTCGATAGGTAGAGCAGGCTGGTCTTAAACTCAGAGCTCTGCTTGCCTCGGCCTCCCAAGTGCTGGGATTAAAGATGCATGACACCGCTCCTGCTCACATAGCAACAACTAAACAAAAACCCAGCACATTATTTTAAGTTGTTCCTGAAATTGTGAAACTCAGAAAGCACAAACACAGAGCACACAGAATAATGGGTTTTGTTTTGTTTTTTAAAGTGCATGTGCTTCCTGGTGAAATATCTGAGGGGAGAAGTAAGAACTGGCATTTTGCCAAGCAGGGTCCCACAGGATGGCAATCCCAGCATTTAGCAGGTGGAAGCAGAAGGGTCACGAGTTCAGGACCAGCCTCGGTTTCATAGCACGTTCCAAGCCAGCTTGGGCTACAAGATCCCCTGTCTCAAACAAACAAACTAGTCTCTTTTATCCAATGCTAATTCTTGAACCTAGGATCTTGTACATGCTGAGAAAAAACTTTATTACTGAGCCAGGCCCCCAG